ATTGGAATTGGAGAATAATCAGTTGTCCGATTGCTCGATTATCTTAGTCTATGTTAGATGGAAATTGTGATGAACTTTTCGAGGATTTATACTCAGTCAATGGTACTTAAAGTTAGTTTCTGCCGATCAGAATTCGGTTTATCTGGACTTAAAATGGCAGATTTTGGCCGTAATGACAAGGGTTTAGACTTGGTATTAGTTAACTTTCTGACATTTCTCTCTTAATTTTGAATGCGATAAATTGTGTAATTTTTACAAGCAGAACGATGCATTTTAAGTATATTGTTTAAACTAATCGTCCAAAGGCAAAACGAGAACTTTTACTTTATAATTTTAGTTATGGCTTACAAAGAATCGGTGGAAGCTCAGAACGAGCTAGAAAGTTGAAGCCAAGTGATTTTATCTAGTTTCTCCGATTAGATTGTTTACTTACTATCTAGATACAATAAACTAACATTTAAATGTCAAAGAATGAAACAAGTCGCTTGGTATTTTGTTAGAATGGAAGAGGAAATCAGTAACAGAGGGAAGAAAATTTCTGCATGAACCTGCATAAGCCATTTCTTGCTGTTTGAATTAGTATTCGCTTAATAGCTTTTGCCCATTTCTTTGAATAGGTTTACTGAATGAGAGATAAACTTCGATATTTTCTGACTCTGTAACTACTAATATCGATCATTGGCAACCGTTTCTCAGGATGTCACGCGACGCAGTTCTTTAGTACGTTATGTGACAGATATGATGTTTTGTCACATCTTTTCTTTTGGAGAAGTGAGCGCACCTATGCCTTATTCGCTTAACTTTTGCCCATTTTCTTGGATAGAGTTATTAAATGAGATATAAACTTCGATATTTTCAGATTTTACATCTTCCAGTTTCATTGGCAGCCGTTCCTTAGGATGTCACGCGTTTTTTTAGCATGTAAAGCGACATGATGTTCAGTCATATATATTGTTGAAGAGGCAGGAAAAAAGAAATTACCTTTCACTTTTGGAGATGGTGCTTTATTCTGTTTATAGAAAGCGTCCTCATCATGGGAGGTACCCTAGATCGGTGTGGTTCCCCGTGTGTAGAAAATATTTATGATTTTTTTTCCACGATTGCAAAGTTAACTAAAACAGTCTGTTAAAAAAACCGAAACTTTCTTAAAAACTGAGGGGCCGACCGATAAGTACTTTTTACGGCTAACGGTTAAAACTGTGGCCATTTTTCTGCTGCGGCTAACCCAGAATAACACTAAATAACACACTGTAGGAGGTAAAGATTTTTAAAGTTAATTTTTTCTGCAACTAAGGGATCAAATTTGTCAATATTTACGCCTAACAGCTAGCTTTTCGACCGGTTTACGGCTAACGGTTAACCCAATGGAGACCCTCGACTGGGTGACATGCAGATGTAAAATAAAAACGGTTTTAGAAGGTGGCATTTGCAACTCGAATTAAGAGCGCTGGTTTTTAAGGAGTAAGGAAAACCGGGAAAAACAAGCCGTGGAAAAATCCTGGAAGTAAGGATCAACCTGAGAGAGACGGGCATGGGGAGAGCGTTGTCGCTACGCATTCCTGTTATGTTCAATCGCTAACGCGAGATATTCACCAAAGTGAAGGCGAGCAAGGATAAATTTCTTTCCCCCTTTAAAGACCTTGTACCGGATCCAAAAAGTCAGTAAGCCCTTATATATTGACTTCCCCCCAGATCTAAAAAACTGCGACAACGTAAATGTTTCACCAGAACATCTCTACTGACGATAGCATATATTACAATCATTTTTAAAAGAGCCATGGGAAGGGGGGAAGGGTGGGTCTAGGTTCCCTTTTTCCCCCCGGGTTGGGAGTGTAAACGGCTACGTGGTTAGAGGAAGGATTCT